GGCATTTTAGAAATCCAGCACATCACAGAATCATAAATAAGAATGTGCAAGCGTAATTTATATGGCTCAAGTCAAAGCGCAAAGTTATCCTTCTCGGAATCCGAATGTGGCAGATCATATAAATTTTATCGGAGCTAAGGAAACGGGAGAGATACATTCGTTTCGTCCGTTAAGGAGCTTAACATAAATTCCCTCGTAGGAGTTTGCTACACTCGAAATCTTGAATTATTGCACATAAAATATAAATATATAATAATAAGCAATGCAAATGGTATGTGTGGTTTAAATGGTAAATTGATTTAGGTAAATAGTATTTTACTTATTTTTTTTTAGAAAATTTCTGAAAAATTTCATGGAGTGAGAAAGCATTTTATTGTAATTTCAATGCTATCTTATTGTAACTCTCTTCTTTTATTTATTACTGATAGATATACAATTTCTTCCAGGTTACCGTGTGAGGCAAATATTAATTAACGCTTAATACGTATGATTTATATGTCGTAGATTAACATACCCCTGTCTCTGGAAGCAGTAATTTCGCATTTCGGAGATCCTCACATATTTTCCAGGTAATTAATTAATTTTCCAGGTAATTAATTAATTAATTTGAAAATACTCTCTGGGAGCAACAGCCAGTTTTTAATTTACTTTTTAATATTTCTCAAATTTCTGTCTTACGAAATGAAGCAAAAAAATGACTGGTAGTGTTAGTGTTATGTAGAGAAATTACCGGATAGCGTTATAAAAATTAGGTGAATGATTTTATGATTTATGGAAATTAAAATTTTATTTTGATTCTGAATTATTTAATTTAAGGCTTTAATTTTGGGGAGAAACAGATGCTTCTGGAAATATTATTTAGTTTAAATGAATATTATTTATTTTCTTTATTTGTAAATCTTGTACAAACTTTTATTCATTGTGAAAGAAGCGGGGAAAGGGAGGCAATTTTCGCCAAGTCATGATTTCGCGCGCTTTAGAATGTTCGAGAAAGAATTTTCATTGTTAGTTGACCTTAAGAGAGGAAAGTACGTGACGGAAAGGTCAAAGGTTGCTACTTGTCTTTCAATGTAAGTCATTCAGGTTTTTGGCGATTGAGGGTCCGGTTGTTGGCTAAGTGAAGAAGGGCGCGCATGCGCGATCACCCTTTTTTTCCGCATTCTGGAGTTGAAAACGAAGATTTTGCCATAATTAAGGGGGCGATAAGTGAAGCCATAGTGGGAGCCCGTTTGGTGAAGGAGAAGAAGGAAATTTGAGTTGGACATACTTACTTTCGGCTGACTCTCGGACTGACTCGCTGATTTTCGGGCTTGCTGGACAAAATGTAATTACGAAGCGGGATGTTTTCCGGCGGGGAGCGGCAAATATGCTCCCCGGCCGCGTTTGGTTAAGAGGCGAGACACACTTACTCTGGACTCGCTTAGGCACTCTCTGACTGACTCGCTGATTTTCGGGCTTGCTGGACAAAATGTAATTACGAAGCGGGATGTTTTCCGGCGGGGAGCGGCAAATATGCTCCCCGGCCGCGTTTGGTTAAGAGGCGAGACACACTTACTCTGGACTCGCTTAGGCACTCTCTGGCTGACTCGCTGATTTTCAGGCTTGCTGGACAAAATGTAATTACGAAGCGGGATGTTTTCCGGCGGGGAGCGGCAAATATGCTCCCCGGCCGCGTTTGGTTAAGAGGCGAGACACACTTACTCTGGACTCGCTTAGGCACTCTCTGACTGACTCGCTGATTTTCGGGCTTGACGGACTTGTTGACGGAGACTGAGAAAAAAACTTGTGGGTGTTGCGAAGGAGAAAGGAAAGAAAAGTTTAGTTCGTCATCGAGCAGTGCTTCCGGCGGGGAGCGGCAATTATGCTCCCCGGCCGCGGGTTTTCTCAAAAATGCGAAGAAAAAAAAAAATGTTGAGTGAATAACGAATAACAAAAAACAAAAATTAACAGAGACTTGGGTCTATATCTGTATCGGCAAAAGTCAGGACGATGTTCCTCTGAACTCCGACTTGAAAACAGAAGAAATGACTTGGAAAGAATTATGTCACCTTAGTCAACTGGAAACCTGCGTTAGCCGTTCTCTAAAATGCCTAGCTTAATTGTCTACGTTTTCCTTGGTGGAGCTGAGAGTCTAGGCAGACAGCCGTGCGGTTGTAAGCTGTTCTCTTGCTTCCAGTGGGAATAATTTCTTCTATGGAAACCAGTAGCAGGCGTAAGATTTGACGGTATAGCTGATGTAATTTATTGTCGTGCCGTTCGAGTCTCTGTCTTGCGGATTTGCCAAGTGACGTAAGGATAGAGCTAAGATATGAGCTCTCCTCCACTTCAAGATGTCCACTCAAGATAAGTATTATTTTTTTTGGTGTGTTGGAACTTTAGGCAAGTTTTTTCAAAAACGTCCTTAGCAGTAAAAACAACGTCGAATCTAAAATTTAACTCTCAGGCCATAAATTGTTTCCCTTTCCTTTCTTTTAAATCACCAGACAAACCTTAAGTTTTTTATGAATTTAAATGAACAGACTCTCAGATGAGGTTAAGACTTTTCTTATTGTGTTGTAATTGAATAAACTGATATTTAATCTGGAACCTCTTACAGTATGTTTTCTTTATATATTTAATATGAACTTTTCCTTTATATCTTGTATATGTTTTATGTTTTCGATCCTCTCACGGCGCGGTCCCGGAATGCATTTTTTTCACAACGCAAAAATGCTGTACACGTTTCACTATACGATTACTACCTTTAACGGCAAGTAGTTTCATATTTAACATTTAACAAAATAGGAATTTCAGATATAACATGGTACCTAGAAGTAAAATTATTTAACCTTGGTGTCGAAATTTTCTTCATAACATTAGTCTCATATAACTGACATAACTTCAGTTATTAGATCAAAATTGGAGAGCAAAAGATTTCAATATGAAAAACTGTATTCTTCGTCATTAATATTTCTTCAATAATATTTTATATCATGCTAGAAAGTCTGAGAAAACGTAAATTCTATCCATTAGCATAAGCAGTATTAAAATAGAATATATGCTGAGCAGATCAAAAATATTATGTAATGGGTAATATTCGAGTTTCTTTCATTTGAATATAAATCTCCTATTCCCATATATTGAATGCAGTAGTTCTGATTAATGTATAACAAACAACATTAATTACGAAGGACATAAACTCAGTCAGGAATTCTTATAAAGTCTTCACAAACTGAAGTAACAGTTTCATTGATTAGAGATAAAATTACTTTTATATGTTGCATATGAGTAAATTAATGATTACTTGAACGTAGGATAATTTTAACTATATAATGTTTAAGATTGCTCAAAGTAAAAAAATTAAAAGAAACTTTGAAATTTTAAAAAGATAAGAAATTTTAACAACTTGCTGAATAAAATAAGATAAGAAGTCATTCAGAACAGTTTTCCTTTAACTTGCATATTGTACAAAGATAGACTTAATTAACACGTTGAATGCCACACGCATTTTATATAGCTTGCCTATGGCGCCAACATAATATCTTTTATCATGCGGTGTGTATTATGTTGAAGTATTATATACAGAAGATAAAGCTAAGTTATATAATCGCATTTAATGCATTTATCGTAATGGTTGTCACCAGTGCCCCCCAGGTGTTATAGATTATTTTTGCGATTTATTATTTAAATTTTGGAGATTTATTATTCTTCAAACCATTATAGCAACAATGGTATTATTTAAAAATTTATCATTTCCGATATTTCCTCTAAAGATGTATTTTTGTTATTAGTCGTGTCGCTGGTGACGTCTGCCCCCCACCGTGCTGTAGCCAAGTTGAGTGCCGGCCACCGGTCACCTCCACGGCAGTCAACGTGTTAAAATAACCTTGAGTGTACGGAAATTAGAAGGATGAGAAAAAGCTATAATATCTGAAGTTAGTAATGAATATTCAAATTGATAAATTAAAAAAATTCTTTTACAATAGAATTTTTTAGAAAATTTTAGAAATATTTTGATGAAAGAAAATTTGGTAATTTTTTTTTTAGTCCAAAGGGATTTGAATCCCGAAGGACTATTAGTTTGGTTTTGGCATTTTGCGTCGGAGGGATAAATGTCGGTTCACTTTTCAAACTGTTGCCATAAAATGTTAGAGTCCTGCATTATATTTGAAGAAATTAAATAATGAAAATCTGCGTAAATGTATGTATATTTCTCACATTGTCATAAAATAACGGTACATAGAGTCATCGAATTTTGAATAACGTAATCCTCCAACGAATATGAGCATGTGGAAGACCCAATTTGAAATTTGAAATTTGTTTTATGATCGATTTCCTATTTTTTAAAACTTTGACGAATTTTTGATTAACAAAATCAAGGATTTCAAAGCGAGCAATGGCAACGTTGTGCAGAAAAAACATTTTTATCTCCAGCGCGTGAGTCTCTGTATCGGAAATTCTAAAGATATGCTCGTTTTAAAACTATTTTGCGATATTGCTGTTGCACTGGATCTTATGGTTTAAGTGCGAGGAACATGATATTTAATAAAGAAAGGTAACACACAAAATGTTAAAAAACGCCCCTTTGGACGTAATTTAAAATCTAAAACATTTCAGTTTTTTTTTTTTTTTTTTTTTTTTTTAAACTCGCAAATAATTTTGTTGACGAAATTCTAGCCAAAACGTCAACTCATATGTGTTAGAAGTTTAAAAGTAAGTAATTGATTAAATTACATTGTTTATTTTATTGTTTATTGATTATTTATTTTCGTATCAAATGTCTCACAGTCTCACAATTAATTTTAATACAGGTTTTTTGTTAATTTCGACTAAATACTAATTTTAGATTTCGCTAAACATTTTATAAAACAAATTGCTTAGCCTTTCATTAATGCAGAAAAGAAAAAGAAGGGGAATTCAATATTTAATACAGTTTAGGAAGGTAATGCTCCAGTTTTTAATTTACTAAAGCAAGACAGATAAGGAATGATCAAAAGATCGGGGCACTGACCAGATCAACATGAACGCACGTCAATTTTATTAATTACGTACAAACAATAAGTGTGATAATGATGCTATAACACTTCCACATTTAAAATCTATGTTATAAACAATGGCTAAATGACAAATTACACACATAATTTAAAAAAATTAACAGATGGAAAATAAATTTAAACAATGAACGATCACTTATCACAAATAAGAGTTCTTGGTTAAAATTTTCGTAACAATCCTAGCCACACAATACATCCAATATATAAAAGAGACTCGAAATGCGTATTTTGTGTCCCATTGTCTTGTGGATCAATGTGTGATTGCGGTGGTTGATCGTTGTGCTCTCTGGATATGAGCAACTCCTTGGATATGGAGGTCACGAAGTTGGAAATAGAAGCTTCACAAGCTAGTCTCAGTATTCCATCTGGCAAAGAACTTGATTCCAGAGGTATATCAAGCTGAGAGGAAGAAGTTTCTAACTGGTCCTGATGACGAATGACTTCTTGTGATTCGTAGGCTCCTTCTGGAATCATCTGTGTGATGAAATTAAAAAACAATATATAGTTTTATTTCAATAATAACAAGCCCATTAATTTAGGAAATACGATTTTCATTTAAGAGTTCAATAAATGCTTTTTGGCCAGCTGATTTCAGTCTATTAACACATTAATAATACTTTCCGCATGAATTACATAGTAATTGTTGATGCTATAGCAAGGAATTTCTAAAGCTTCTGTATTTCTAAAGGACTCAACCTCTTTTGTTCTTTTTAAACAAAGTTTGAAAGATATTTTACATGTAATTTCTAACTCTACAAATACGTAAGAGGTTTACTCTCTTTTTAACGAAAACACTGGTATAGGCAGAAACTAATTCAACACCTCTGTAGTACCACAGATGATTGAGGTGTTGTTAAACCCAGAATTTTGAGAGACAACATCCCAAGGAGTAGTACGAGAATCTCCTACCCCTATACCTTTACTATCAATATCTCGAGAGTACTGAGCATCTTCCATGCCTGACAGACACTATACTCTTGCAAGCACCCATGCTTTATCCGGGATTCGAAACCGCGCCCATTGGTATGGTTATCAGCTTCGCTAACCACTACTGTCGGCGTAACTATCGGTTGGGTAGTTTCACGAAGACATATTAAAACATAGGTCATAATATATATATATGTATATATATGTGTGTGTATACATCGAGTGAAATATTATGTTATTCGTCTTCTGGCTTCAACAGGTGCACCATGATATTCAGATATTTTCCAAACAGATAAAAATATTTCCATATATTGAGATATCGATGAACTTGCGAGAATGATTAAATCAGAATCATGGAGAGTTTTTTACCAACAATTGGTGCATTGTTATGTTGAAATGTGATGAGGAGTCGGGTACTTACCATGACGTCGTTGATATACCATGTTAGGTTGGCAGCAGGTTTCGATCTCACAGAAGAGCATCGGATGGTGAGGTTCTCTCCATATTCTGTGAAACCACCAGTGATTTCTGGAGAATTTTCTGGAGGAACTATAATGGACAGAACTGATTAGTTAGTTGCTAATTCATTGTAAAAACATTTGATTACTAAACTAAACAATTCAACACAAATGAATTATTTGTTAAATGCACTGGCTGCCTGAATAACCACAGACTTAATCCAGATAAAATCTGCTTGGCCAGCAATATACAATAAGATATCTGAGAACTTAATCAATTATTTAAAGTACGATGTGAAACTGTTTAATAAGCAGATTTAATTACGTACTGGAACCTATGTTTGTAAGATACTTGGCGTCGTTAGATTTCTTTCTTTTATTAACGAATTGGTTGTTATTTAAATCGTTAAAATGCCTTCACGTAATTTCATGGAGACCCTGCTGTTCGCACATCAAGTATTTACTTACTTCTACTGTTACATTTTATGTAGTAAAAAGATTATTTTAAATAAGAACCTAGTACTACAATGATTTTGCATTAAAATTCAAAAACGTGTATGCGATTAACACTTGCTTACTTCCATGATAGTTGATAATGACTCACATTGAGTTTTATGGTTTAATCCAGTAAACACCGATCGTTACTAGCGCCTCTGTCGAGATCGTTACCGATTTCGGATGAAGCTTTATAGTAATGGTTACCAAGAATCTAGCTGATACACCATACGAATAAAATCGAAAAATATTTTTTTTTCATGCAAATATTTGCCCAAATACTGCATTGGGTACTTGTTTTGGTATTTACGTATTATCTCGTCAATCGCTGGCGAAAATTTTGGCAACAGTCACCAACTGCCAGTAGTTATTGTGGAATATAAAAGGACACGTTCATCCCTAACTGACGCTAAATCGTACTAGTTGACCGGTTAACCGAATAATACGTAAGTACTCTTATCTTCTGTAGCGTCTATGGCTAGAGATTGGATTTGGTACATTTCTGCACTGACGACAAACAAGCGGTTACTTATCTATGCATGTGCGAGAAACAAATGAATAACGATTTAGATAGACTTTCATAATTGGATTGCTGTGTTAACACTACGTTTTGTCATAAGAAAATACTCGTTATATTTACTATTTTCAATCTTCCATCAACGGAAAAGAAGCTACTAACTAATTGATGTTAGAAATATTATTAATAAAAATTGTTTAACTGTGGTGACCAGAAAGAATGTGAAAAAGTACATTTTCCGGTATATTTTACATTTTGTTTTGAAAATAAATTGCTAACAAAATTGTATTAGCCATAATGACAAATAGAATTTTCCAGTATGTTTTTATATACTGTTGTTTTAAATAAATTACTTATATAATTGTTTTAAATGCGATAATTTCTGTTGAATTATATTGTTGTTTTTAATAAATTGCTGCAAACGGGCACTAAATATTAATACAAATTTATATTGAATTCCTCTGTATGTATAAAAACTATCTTATGTATCGTGAGTATGTTATTTAACAACTTGGGTACAGATATTGAGTGAATTGCTGTTTTTTCGTTCATTGTAGTTAGTTTTATGTTTTTGTGGTTGTTTACAACATGCGGTAACAGTTCACACTTCCTAAAACCCGAACTGCACCAACACCATTTCCTCTCGAGAAGGCCGCTATAGAGGACAAGTATCTGAGTTGTTCTGCGACTTGCTATTACATCTAACATAGAAATGATGCGTTAAACACAAAAGTTTCTTCTTAACAGAACTAGTATACATACTTTTGCGTACAATGCTATGATGAATGTAGAACAATTTCTGCATTGGGATGTAGTTAATGGTAATGAAATTAAACTATTAATAAACTTACAAAGTTTTAAAAAAATACAGTAATAAATTTTTAAAAAATTCAGTGAAGAATTATGTTATAAAAGACAAATAATGCAACTAATAGCAAATAACTAGGAACTAATAAATTTAAAAGAAATAGGGAAGAGTAGAACGGATAGCTAAAGGTCTGCAAAGTACACTTATGATGACAGTCAAGCAACAAACAAACAATAATTTAAGCTACTACATCAATAGTTAAAGTAATGCAACTAATTGCTGCTACTTAAGAATTCTAACTCAATCTCACAATTTTGGAAACAGATTTGAAACAGTTGTCAATTTTGAAAAGCATTCTTTTTTTTCAAAAGCAAGCAGTGTGACGATCTCCAACAGATAATATTTACAGCAGTTGATTAAAATACAATGAAACATTAAATGGTGCATTACATAAAACGTTTTAGTCAAGTGTTAGACACTTAAGTGTATAACGTTTCAAAGAATAACCTGTGCAATAGTTCCAATAGTCGACATGTAACATCCCACCAGCGAACGAGCGGTAAAGTCGCTGAATACTGATAGTTCGGTCCCGGGCTCGAATACCAGCATACACGCTGGCTGCATGGGCGTTTTCGTTATTTTCGCCATGTGTAACGTGTATACAAGACAGTTTCCCTTATAAAGTTTTCCATGAAGGCACCCCTTCCTTTAGGCAGATAACCCTGTGCTTTGCCATAATAAGTAAATCAAACCAAACCAAACAAACATGAAACATTATTTATGGCATAGCACATAGCATAAATAATCTATTCGTGAGTATGTTACACGCAACAGAATCCTGAGAAATATATATAACACAGTAAATGCAATTCTACACGAATGCAGTAAGTGCCAAGGAACCTAAATATGTTTCTTCATTTATTAAAAATAAATAATAAAAGTACATCCCCGACATTACATTATTGGATTTCATATATGAATATAAAATTATTAATATTTTTCATATATAGTATAATGTTTAGTATAGTTTAAGCAGATCACTTGTATTATTGTTACTGGAAAAAGTTGTTTATTGCCTAATTACGTAATTACTAGGTATATATACCTTTTCTTAAGCGTGCTTGTTACACGCTAGAAATCGTGGAGAATAGCTACAATGCTTGCTTATAAGTCCCAGTGATATAAAGACAAACATATACGTCAACACATACCTATATACGTCACTGTAACCTATATACGTCAATATGGCATTAACACATGGCTATATATGTCAACATAGAAACTGTACCTATATACGTCAACATGGCATTAACACTTTATATTCCCTTAAATAAATTAAAATCACACCTTCCTTACATTATGTTAACATACTGCTATGCATAATTTAAAGATGCTGAAATACCTTATGTACATATATTTCAACATTCTCCTGTCCAGCAGATTGCTTATATCTCTACAGCTAAGGCTAATTACACATTATTACAGTTGTCATAACATCATAGAACTCAAGTTAGTGATAGCTAGAGTTAACAGTCCATAACCGATTATGAACCGTGAGAATTTCAGACACGACTGCCATGGAGGTCAGTTAGCTAGAGCTGTCAGTCTGAGATGAATTTGGGCATTTTAAGGTATAATGGAAGGCATTCACTACCACAGTATCAAGTTTCGATACTGCTGAGGCTATAAGGTACGTATACGACAGAAAGGCATTGTGTCGCGTGAGAAATTATTGATCTCTGGTATGTCTCGAGTTGCATCTTGTTCACATTTAATGAGAACTCTTTTCTAAGTTTTTAAATTTAAATATGAGACCGACATAATAACAGGATGTTTCATAAGGAAGTCTATCAGTGGCCAAATGGGATAAAACAGCGATCACAGCTGAAAATTGTTAAATTAATATTTTCAGTTTCCAGATCAAGGCGATTTTAGCATTTATTTCTACGTATATAAACCATAGATACAGAAAAAGAAACTGACGAAGTATCACCTAGTTTTGACGCTGGAGCTTTTGCTCCTTGTGTAGTAAATTCCCTCTCTCCGAAAAAACAGAACTCTTATATGACCTTTTCATACCGTGGCACTTTATTTATCACCTCATCTCGGTGATCCTAAGTGTTTCAGCAAAATGTCAGCCAAGGTTTCTTTGGCCTCGGTCGAACTATATAAGGTGGCATCTGCGAGATATCAACATGAACTGACTGTATATAATGCCCTTCAATAACTTCGCAGAGAATTATATTCAGGAAGTGTAAAAGTTTTTATATTTATCGCAATAAAGTCTTCGAAACTATCGATCTGTTGCAACAACAATTTACTCGACATTGTATTTTATATAAAGCACAAAATTGATGTACGTATGTACTTGAAATATAGTATTGAATTATATTCTATACGGAACACAATATATTTGTTTCATTCTTGTTAACAGGTGAAACATTTGGCATAGATGACTGTATATATTAATGTCCCAGTACTTTTTATGTCGGAAGTAAAGCTTTAAAATTTAAGAAAAAATAATTCTTTCATATTTGTAAATATAAAGAAAATTTCAAGAATTGTTTTATTTAGTTTTATTAATACTCTGCAACTTCATAATGAAGTTTAAATTCCATATGTCCTAATTCAGAAATAAAGATAATTTATATTTCGTTTTTATTAAAAAATAAAAGTAAAAAATTTCCAAATAATAATCGGGGACGAATAATGTTTAGATTATGTAATATACAAATACTATACTGTGAATATGATATTATACAAAAGGTTTCACTCAGTCAAAAGCTTTGGAGTTTACTGCATGTGCAAAAAGATCTTTTTTTTAATGTAAAAAGTAAAATATTTATTAGGTTTATGTCCTACAAAATCTTTTATGACGGCAAGTATTTGATTTGCACTTAAGATGAATTTTGTCTTTATGATGTAAACGCACATGCTGTTATGCTCAGCAGAAAAAGAATTTCATTTCTGCTAGTCTTTCTGTCATACCAAGAACTGTATTGAAATTTCAATAAAAAAATCCTAAATTTTTTCTAGAATGCAAACGAACAGCAGACCTTTGAACATATATATGTATATACATGTAAGATATAATAAAATACGATGGCTACGTTATCAGGTTCAATGTTCCGCCTTACTTTCTTTGGGAACATGCACAGACCTGACTCGGAACAGAGCTTACTAAAGCTATGTTCAATAACCGTGGGAAGTAGACAAGACACACAGGAAGGGTATACAAAACCCTTTATTTTTCACTCTTTACAATAATTTCCGTACTTCGGAATACAGAGACCAACCACTT